TTTTTATTACAACGTATTATAATTTTAAATGGTAGTATTCCTAATTCTAAAGGTTGATAATATATTTCTATGTTATTTACATGTTTCTTTTCAGAAAAATGTCACGTGCTGACGACGGCGTGAGAATAGTCATATTTTCATAGTTGCAATAAGGTTCACGATTTTCGTTCATATACCTCTTATCATACAGTTTGTTTTTCTTCATACGATTGTTATTTCATAGGTGAGTCTTCTGTTTTCAATTTATTTCTTAAATAACTTACAATTGTTGTTAAAATGTCCTTATAAGTTATATAAATAAATGCCGATATTTCGTAGCAAGAGCTATTACATATAAGATATATTATATCATATATTATTTAGAACATATCGTATATAAAATTTACGTAATTATAATGTAAATTTCAATACTAACGTCGTATAAAAACAATAAAGCAGATATTAATTGCATAGAAGATGAGATCATTCGAAGTAGCATAAAAATACGATAAATATGTTATATGTATTTCATACGTTAAATATGCAAAAACAAATTCGAACGATTTCGTTATCTTCCGGTGGCGCTGAAAAAAAAAGCTCTGTTACACGAGGTCGACGTTGATGGTATTGTTCGCGACGTGAAACGAGTGTGATTTTTTTTTCAGTTGCATACTGTTGTCACAGATATACAACGGTCTAGATATTTAGTGTATCTTTCTTTATAGACAAAATTTAATAATGATAAAGCTCATCCGACCACGATTAATAACGTTTGATGTCACTGGTACATTGCTGATGGCGAAGTTGGAACACTACGTTGAAATTGGTTCTCAGTATGGCCTGTCAATTGATCGATGCAAATTGGCGCGAAGTTTCAAAAATAGTTTTCATAAACTTAGTCTAGAACATCCTATTTACGGCAAACATACTGGCATCGGATGGGAAAATTGGTGGAGGCAAATAGTTCATAATGTTTTCAAGGATCAACACAATTATGTTTCGGATGCCACTTTGGATAAGGTGATAAAAATTATCACGATGCTGGGAACTTGTATTTTGCTATGACATAAATGAACATTCAATTTTTCATATTCAATTGTAGCAAATAATCATTTATATACACTATTTTGCAAAAATGTTAGTCATATCTCAATACAGCTAAAAGATATTATTTACCATGAATGAGATCAGCACTATTAAAAATTAATTAAGTTTGACAGCTGTTCCATATTTTAAATGAGTAGAAATCATTCTTTTATCTTATATAAATTTTGTTACAATTTTGCATTTCAATTCTCTAATTAATGAAAAAAATTATATTTTATGGGGGAACTATTAACGAGAAAAAAAAGAGAGACCTCTCAAACTCATACCTATCATCGATGACCTTTTTTTATCATTATGATCCATAGGTTGCTAACAGTTTGATAAAATCCTATAGCACGAGTACGTGCTGGCCCAAGTATCCAGGCACGATCGAGTTACTGGAGTATCTTCGGGAAAAGAATCTGATTTTAGGAGTAATATCGAATTTCGACGAGAGATTGGAATCGATACTCAAAGATACGAAGATACGCTTTTATTTTTCTTTTGTTTTAACATCCTATGATTTCGGCGTGGAGAAACCAGATACTTTGATATTCGACGAGGCACTTAGATTAACAAAGGAACGACATAGTATCGATATAAGTCCTCAAGAAGCGATACACATTGGCGATTCTATGAGTCGTGACTACATTGGAGCAAAAAATGCAAATTGGAATGCAATTCTCATTGATCATAGCGATAATGAGAATAAAGGAAAAGTCTCTACGCAGGACGTCGTTACGAATCTTCAAGATTTAAGGCTACATCTTTCTACATTTTTAGATAGAAACATATAGTATATGTAATTTAACGAAATTAATTAAAAGCTAATATCTTAATCGTTAAAAAACTAGGCGTTTCAAAATGTTATCTATAACAAAATAAATAATAGAGAAATGTTGACAAAATTAAGTGCCGAATAGAATTTTTTATGTCGTAGATTTTACAAAATCCAAATTATAGTGCGATTATAGTTATCATGCGCTTACATCGTAATGTATTTCTTAAAAAGATATACGTTTAAGTTATATACGGTAAATATGTCAAACTATGATAATAGTTTTTAAGAAAATAATTGAAGTGATAATTCTGATGCCATATATTTTTGTTTTATGTATATATAAATGTTAATAATAACTTACGATATTGATTGAACTAAACAAAAAAGCAGTAATGTGCTAATATCTCTAGCTCTAAAATGATTTTAAAGAAGAAACACATTTTATTATGTAATATATTTATATTTTTATACGAACATGATTTTTAAATGTATAACTTTCTATTTTTTAATGTATAACTCTTTATCATTTTCATTCAAAATATTAAACTTGTCTATATCTATTTGTACTCATTCATAAATTAACCAAACCTTTTATCAATTGTAAATCAAACTATATTATTAATTAAATAACTCTTGATTTAAGAACTACAAATGTATGGGTGGACTTATTATGATATCACTTCTTATTTCCTAGTAGAAAGATAATCATTTTATAGTCAGCATTCTTCAAATAACGAGCATCGAATCATAAATAGTGCATAATTTTTTATATATGAAAAATTTATCATTATACATTCTATTTGATATCAACTTAACAACTTCACAAACAGATGTTTTTATCCTCAATACATTAATTATTATAATTATATAATTATATTAATTACAAGTTCTTATAATAATGTTTTTAATGAAATTCTACTGTACATCTCATTAAAAAAAAAAAAAAAAACTGTAAACTGAAATATACTCTAGTGGAACATTGATAGCGGTAGGAAGAAGTCGTTTCCTGAATAATCTATTTTTCACTTCCGTCCTAGCAAGATATGAATTACTGGTTGCGAGCTTTAGTAAAATAATCTGTCATTCTCATTTCAGTTAATAAAAATAAAAAATCTTTTATGAATTATCGATCTCAATAAAAAAAATTTCGAATGAATATAAACGAGTACGATCGTTTTTATAGAATGTACATTTTCCAAATTCTTAAAATTGTTTCTCCAATTTAACAATTCTAATCCAGAATGACGTTATCAATTTATTATTGGTTGTTACATTTCTAACCATTATTAGTAATATTAAAATGCGAAATATAACCCTAACGATTTGAACGTTACATTTCTCTTAGTCTACACTTTCTACGAGGAGTGGCGGCGTATTACCACCACGAACGCTCGGCATGTCGACTTCCCACAGTCTCACTCACAGACTCCCTCTCCTTCAGTTTCTCGCTAAGCTGTTGCATGGAGAGAGGCTTTCTTCATGGTTTTTCAATCTTCCGTCGGTCGGAGAGGTTAGAATATGAGAATTCATTCCTCTGTTTTAAAAATTCGCGACACCTGCGTGATACATAAGCAGTGAACACATCACGGTCAATTTGTGATTTATATACATAGAATTGTGAATGTCAAAATTTTACTGTTGCTTTAGTAAAAGATTAGTAAAGACAGTAGATTCTTTTTTTCTTTTGAACATCTTATTTTATATTTTAAGAGAGTTGTGCAAATATACAAATTGACAAGTTGCATTTATAAATGTTTATTCAAATTGAAGTTCTTGATTCGTGTGCAGAATTGTGTATTCGTAAAGAACGTATTTATAAGATTTTAAGTAGGTAGAAAAACAGAATAGATTTTAGTGATGAATTGTTGAACATAATTTCTGAATTTTTCAGATTTTTGAATAGTAAAAAGTGGAGTTAGATTTTGTTCAAATAAACGCCATCTGTGTTATATTATCGAAGTATTTTTAATTTGAATTAAAAATTATTCAGATCGCTGATGATTTTATTTTTTTATATTTTATATCTATTTGTATTTTAATGCATTAAAAATAGTTTTCACTTTATGTGGCAAATTTTTCGTGAGTGTTGATCAAATGATATAATTTTTATTTATAAGTTGCATTTTTTATGATTAATCCTGAATAGAAAAATTCATGAGAACAGAATCTTCTGCTTAAATTTTTGTTGAATTTAATAAATTTAGAATGTAACGTGTGAAATCATTTTTAGTTTCCAACGTTTACAAAAGTTATATATAACATTTCTTTTTCGTATCAAATTCAATGAATTAAAATTAATGATTAGGTAGATAAGGCGAGAACCGTTGGCGGAATGCGATTTCGGCAATAAAAAGTAAAACATTGTCGAAGATTTTCTCGTCAATGGAGTCGATCGAGAATCAGTGTTCATTCTAATCATCCAAAAAATTCAAGACAGTGAGAGTTTGACTGATTTAGGATTCCTCTGCTGAAGAAAAGTGAATCGAAATTAAATTACGAGAAACAAGATTCGTAAAAAAATAGAAAATTGAAACATGACCAGGGGAAGACACAAGAAGATGTTAATGTTAATTGCAATCTGCTTGGTGGCAGTATTTGCAGAACCTGAACCTTCACCCGACGAACTGTACAGCCGATTTCCGAAAAATCGGGATGAAGACAAATGTTACGATGACAATGGAAGGCCACAGGTTCGTACTTTCGTTCATATTATTTATTTATTTAAAAAAAAAACAGTGCAAATAAATTTCATTTATCAAAAACTAATTTCCCCGGATTTTCAAATGTATAATTTTGTGAAAATTTTTTAATGTAAAAAGAAAACAATTTAATTGATATTAATTTATTATGCACTTTTGAGTTGTTACACAGCATGTAATAACTGATTTAAGTTATTTGATAAGCATAAATCATTTTTCACGAGTGTACTATTCTAGGAATATAAATACGAATCGCTGTTTGTTCTTAGTCGCCAGAACTAAGCTTTCAGTTTCGTTTTTAGAGGATATTTCTACATTAGGTTATCACCACAAAAGTTCGAAGTTACATAAACTTTTGATGATAACTAGAGAGATAAAGTTAAATACATAAACGCTCTAAGTATGAATGGATTTAAAAAATTCTGAAATGATGATTTTCTTTGTATTTCATTTTTTATTCTCAATTTTTTTTTTTTTTTGTATTTATGTCAGGAAAAAAAATCGAAATTTTGGTAAAATTCCTTCATTAAAATAAGCTTACAAGAATTTTGTAGGAAATGTAGTAAGAACTACCTGAGACAAAAATATAATGAATATTAACATTTTAAAAAGTCCGTTGCTGTAATTATTAGCATTAAAATTTTTTTCTAAGAAAACTAATCTAAAAAAAGAAGGTCGAAAAAGAAAGGAACAGAAAAGATATAAAACAGAAAGATTTTTTTCTAATTTTTCAATAAAAGTTTGCGATTCTATTTAAAAGATTGTTTCAAATGCTTGTGTTGTAGAGGTGTATACCACCTTTTGAGAATGCAGCATTTAATGTCCTTATGGAAGCAACGAACACCTGTGGTCAAGATCGGCCAACAGAATTTTGCAAACAGACTGGTGTCCAAAAGAAATCTTGCGAGATATGTCGATACGGTGATCACGAGGCTTTGTTTCTTACTGATCATGACAATAACGACAATGCAACTTGGTGGCAGTCGGAAACAATGTACGAGGGTATCGAATATCCGAACCAAGTTAACCTCACACTACATTTAGGTATGGCCTAGAAAATGTCATGTTTATATTTTAGTTGCAACCAAATTCCATTTGTTCAAACTCTATTGAGGAAATAATATAGGAAATATTCGTTTGAATAAATGGATTTCATTGTACGTACTATCATAATAAAGCGAGCGTTTCGTTCTACTTGAATTTGTTCGCGATGTGTATCGAGTATCGTGGTTCAATTCAAATGTGGCTGTGGTTTCGAGCACTTTAATCGAGATCGTTCGTCGTTGGAATTTTAGTAGATAATATCGATGAATCTCACACCATAGACAGAGAAATAGAGTTCAATTCATTCGGTTTTTGCGATGAACTCTTAACACGTCCTCAATATTTGTCGCTCTCTTTCTCCCCTCTTCTACTCTTTTTTCCATTTTACGTTCTTATCTATCAGGATGCGTGCGCGATGAGATAATTCTCGGAACTACGAACCGGTGGAGAAATGTATAAAGCTAGCATTCATTCCTGTATTAATATTTTATTTTGTATGTCTCTCTCCTCCAACTGGATCATTATTCATCGTAATGCGAAATTTTGCAATTTTTTTTTTTTAAAGTAACCTTAACAATCGTTGTCGAAATATATCGTGAGACTGGAATTATACAAATATGAAACATGCAATATTTATTATTGAAACTGAAGAGATTCCAACGTGTGAAGCTTCAGTTCTTATTAAAATCCTAATGTTGCATCTTTGGATCATAAGATAATAATAATAATAATAATAATAATAATAATACTATGATAATAATAATAATAAGATAATAATACTTGGATTATACAAGATATTCTTTAGAACTTCTCCAATGATATTACATTTTCTTCTATCGAAAATTGCCAGTATCGTGAATATTCGGATGATGTTTACCGTGAAATATGATAGTTCCATCGCACGTGTGTGAACTAGTTTCAACAGCTTGCCCTGAGAATCCGGATAACAGTAGAAGAACTTAAAAATCGTAGAATCTCTTTGCCTGTGCACCACATGTTCATTTACGAAAGAATCAGCCACTTACATCCCGCTGGCTTCACAGTGAAGAATCACAATGGCGTAGAATCCGTTTCATAATAATTTCGATAGTTTATTCTCTTCTCGCGTGACATTTATTCATAATTACGCGGTAATAAGTGTTTTTTTTTTTTGATGTATTTTTTTATTATTTCTCCTTGTTTTTCTTATAGAGTGTTTTTAAATAATTATAGGCAAAACGTTCGATATAACTTACGTTAGAGTGCTTTTCGAGTCGCCCCGTCCAGAGAGCTGGGGTATTTACAAGAGGAAAAACGAGAAATCGTCGTGGGAGCCTTATCAATTCTATTCTGCGACTTGTAGAGATACCTACGACTTGCCCGATTTAAAGGAAACGGTAGGAGGCGATGATACCAGAGTATTGTGTACTTCCGACTACTCAGATATATCGCCTTTGACAAAGGGCACTGTTGCGTTCTCCACTTTAGAAGGTCGACCTTCGGCGTACAATTTTGAAGCTAATCCAGCATTGCAGGTAGGCAAGGTGTTTGCTACAATAAGTTGAATAAATTGCCGTGAAGAATCACGTTTCGCTCGTGATTGATCCTCTTTGAAATAAAAATCATAAAAAAGATCACAAGCAAGGAGAGGAGTTGTGGAATAAAATGATTTTAAAGTAAACATGTGTAACCTTAGGAATGGGTACAAGCAACAGATTTGAGGATCACTCTAGATAGATTAAATACCTTCGGTGACGAAGTTTTTGGCGATGATCATGTATTAAAGTCCTACTACTATGCAATCGCTGACGTCGCCGTTGGAGCACGTTGTGCTTGCAATGGCCACGCTGGAGAATGTGTAAACAGTACCAGCGTGGATGGAAAAACTCGCAGAGTATGCAGGTAAGATAATTCATAGAGATGCATACTCTTTTAATACTCCTGTAACCGGTTAAAAATGATTGCCGACAATTAAATGAAATGTTGACTAAAATATTGTGGAAAACATTTTTTAAATTTTCATTCAGAGTAATATTTTTGTATCATTTTGTACATCCAAGATTTAAAAAATAAAAAAAACAAATAATCAAATGCAACCGTGTTAACCATCTCACTGAAATTCAATTCATTTACAGATGCGAGCACAATACCGCAGGTCCAGATTGCAACGAGTGTTTGCCTTTTTATAATGATGCACCTTGGGGACGTGCCACTACTAAAGATGCACACGAATGTAAACGTATGTATGAAATTTGCAAAAATAGATTGTTAAAAAGACAGGAGATACATGTCTGTAAATTTACATAGATATGTCGTGAATATAAATGATGAGAGGAATATCCTAGTGCCTCAAGGTGGGCCTTGGCTCTTCAAACCTGCTCTTCCGTTTTATGTTTTATATTTGATGATGAAAACACGATAATTATATCTTATTGCATTCTCGTTGAATATACCAATTATTATCGAAAAAGATCAGCCGAATTGTGAAAATGAAATTTCTGTTGTTGAATTTTCAAATTACATAATGTCTCTTGCATGAACTGCGATCTCGGTATCATTAATGATCAAAGCTCCTGTTTGTGAAAAAAATGTATGTATGAAAGTAAAGGAGGGAGATTCGTTCTGCAAGGGAGAAAGATTTCTCCCATATTGTATCACCTTCCCGAGCAAGTTAAAGAGAGTTTGCGTTCACGATCACGTTGGCATTACCTAACCAGCTTTACCTTTTACGTTCATTGCTCGTTCTGAAGTGGGGACGTTGGCAATGCAGGGGCACACAATGCAGCTTTTCTGTAGCTCAGTGTTCACGATACTACAATACAAGCAGATATTTATTACATCGCGTTGATTAGATCGTGCAACTGTGCGAATTTTTTTTAAAAGGAAATCAAGATGATCTTGATTTTATTCAGTGCAATTAAATATACCATTTACTATTAATAGTATTTATGATAGTCATTAATAGTATTGTATTTCAATTTACAACTTATAATTTTTGTAATTTATTATTAAAAAGTGTTAAATATATACAATAAGTTGTTGAATGTTGTAATTATGTTGTGTCAAGTTACTTTTATACATTATTTTAGACATTTTCTGTATCATTGACTACATATATAAAAAAAAACATTCATCGAACATGTGATTTCCAAAATGAATTTTCGATTCTGACGAAAAGTAATAATAATTAAAAAAAAAAAATTATTCCTCTTTTTGTTTATAAATTGTGTAACGGACTGTTCATCTAAAATGAAATTAATTGGGTATTTGATACTTGTAAATGTAATGATTAGTACATCGTCACGGTGGGATGGAATTCTTCCGTGGTATTCAGGATCCAGTAAATATCTAGACAATATTATTATTCATATTAAAATATATAACATACTATTGTTTATGATATTATTCATTGTTTAGCTTGTAATTGCAACGGTTATTCGGAGAGATGTTTCTTCGATAAGGAACTATACAAGATTACTGGTCATGGTGGCCACTGTTTGGATTGTCGAGCCAATCGTGATGGCCCAAATTGCGAACGTTGCAGAGAAAACTACTATCAACACCCGGAAGACAATTATTGTGTCGCTTGCAATTGCAACGAAATCGGTAAATTGATTTATTTTTCATTATCCTATCCTTGAAATATATTTAAAAGGGACAATGAAAATTTTAGGAACAATCTCCATGTTTTATTTATATTATAATATAATAATATTAATATTTTTAATTTGTTATATTTTTAATATTAATAATCATATTAA